TAGCCCTGCACCGCGCGCGAGGCGTGATTCTACTTGGGCCGAAGAGGGCCCATATTCTGCTCGCCCGTGGCGAGCGAGTAATCTGCTGGGTGTGGGTCACCTTGAGGGCGACCCATTATTTTCTCACCATGGGGGTGATGCGGTATTTTCTCACCGAGAGGGTGATGCGATGTTTTCTCGCCGTGTGGGTGAGGTAATGGGTTCCCATCGTGAGGGTGGGTTGCCTTACGTCTGCTGGTGGTGGGGGGAGTGACAGGCATTTTGCATCCCCCTTCGTGAGGGAATCTGGGGGTTCCCTCGGTCAACTACGAAGAGTAGGGTAAAGGTGAAGCCCTTCACGGGTAAAGAGGGTGTGCCGTTAGAGGGTTTCCTCAGACAGTTTGACCTGATATGCAGGCTCAATGGGTGGTGCGCTGAAGAGAGGTTAGTGCAGTTAGTGGGGGCACTGGAATGGCCGGCGTCCTCCGTTCTAGAAGACTGTGATGTCGATGTCGATGAGGCGATGGTGCGACACGCTTTGATAGCGCGTTTTCAACCTCTGGGTAGTGCACTGGGGAGGAGAGCAGCCCTACGAGACTGCGTTCGCCAGCCTGGGCAAAGTTGGCGTGAGTATGCCCGAGAATTAAAGAGGCTGACTTTAAGGGCACAACCTTTTCTCACTTCGGAGCAAGCGAGTGAACAGGCGCGTTGTCGATTGCTAGAGGTTATGCATTCGAGTCCCGCCTTAAAATCTTACGTGTTGTCTCGTAATGATTTGACCGTGGAGGGTTCTGCTTTGGTTGCCGATGAGTATGAGGCGGAGATGGGTGATTTCGCAGTCCCATTTCGTAAACCAGCGGTGAGGCCTGCTGGGGTAGATCCTCGTGCTGCTAGACCTGGGGTGGGTTTATCCGATTCCGGCACTGGTAGGTTATGTCGGGAGGACATAGAGGAAATTGCTAGGTTGGTGGGTGATATGTTGTGTGGTCGTGGGAATGATCAGCAATGGCGTGCCAGCCCGCAGCAAGTCAGTCGAGGTGCTCTGCACTCACGGGGTTCAGCTAGGCGTGATTATAGCTGCTGGTCGTGTGGTAGGCTGGGGCATTTTGCGCAGGACTGCCCCGATAGTGTGCGGAGGATTTCCGGAACGGCCCTGGATCTCGAGGTCGGCAAGGTCATCGGGATTCTGTGAGGGGCAACCCCAATCAATA